ATAAAAAAAAAAAAAGCCGGCCAGGGATTTAGCTCAGTGGTGCTGCCACCTGCCTCGCAAGCATAAGGTCCCAAGTTCGATACCAAACAAAGGTCCCTGGTACCAAACAAAAAGAAAGAAAGAAGAAAACAAGTTTCTGCATACCAGTTCCAGTGGAAATGCTCAGGAGGCCTGGCTGGCCGGCCTGAGCCGTGTCCTCGCCCTGGGCAAGGCAAGCAGTGTTCTGAACAGCCCTTCACCCCAGCAGTGCACATGAACCAGGCACTGTTCACTCCCCACACACACTTCCTGGGGCTCCTGCCACCGGTCTTCTCCTTTTCTCCTTCTCTTTCCCCCAAGGACCAGTCTCATAGCATCTGTCATTTATCACAGCCTTTATCACGTTACCAGTGCAGAGCTCTCCTAGGCAGCAATTCTCCTAGTCTCTCAAACCCACCACTGTCTGTTCCTGTTAGCAATAATGTAATTCTCCATGCTCACTGCACAGGAGCAGAGAAATGCCTGATCCTGGAGACTTCAAGGGCACACAACAAGAGCAAGATGGAAAAAGCAGTCATGATGGTAAGGCGGCACTAACCCATCGCACACTGCTCAGTACCCATGCTGCTGACAAGCTCCTCAGGGTACCCCAGCCCTGGGAGCTGCTCCCTGAGTATCAGTGCTCATGGATCATTTCCAGCCTGGCAACATGAGGCTTCCCCGCTGGGCTTCAGACAGGTCCTGACCTCAGCCTCCCTCTGCCTTCCTTCCTTGGCCTTACGCTCCTCCTGCCAAGCCTCCTGCTCCTCAGTTCCGGTGTAGCCTCCATGGTGCATCTGGAGCATCTCTGCAGTCAGGTTCACTCATGCATTTCCATGCACAACCTGATAAAATTAACTAACTCACAGAAATCTTTGACACAGTCCTACAAGAGATGTCAAAAAAAAGCTGTATCAGACAGTGTCTGGAATTCTGGATAGCAGCTGTTTGAGTAAAACAGAAAAATTCCATTGCTCTTTAAGTAAAGTGTTCAAAAGCCAGTATCCCAAATCCTACATCATATCTTGTTTGCATACACAGGTTACTAAAACTCCCACGGTAATAATAAAGTGCACATGTAAGGATTTCTGTCCAACCAAGTCAACTCATGTGGACATATATCTACACAACAAAATATTATCCCAGACCCTTTCCCCTTTCTTCTGTTAACAACAACAACAAAATAAAACAATTTTGCGATTAATTCAAAACCATATGAAAGTGAGTTCCTCATTGTAAAGGAAAAGCCGCCTCTGTTATTGCTGCGACTTACTTTCAGTGGCGTACTCCTCAGCAGCATGATTTTCTGTAGGCTGTGCAGATGTTTTATTTCACCTACAGAGGAAGCACTTTCAGAATGAGAATTCTTTTCTTGTTCAAGAACAACAAAATTATTCAGCGATAAAAAGAAATGAGCTACCAAGCTGTGAAACGACAGGAAGACAACTTAAGTGCATGCTACAAGTGAAAGCAGCCACTTGAAAAACACGATACGGTGTGATTCCAAACACACTGGGAAAAGGCAAACTGTGGAGACTGCGAAAGGGTCAATGGTCCTGGGGGATGGGGGAGGAGGGCCAGGCAGGCAGAGCCGGAAGGAATTCTCGGCAGTTCTACTACGCTTTGTGACACTTGCCATTACTCACGCATCAAGCACCAGGAGCCTGCCAGATGTGGAAACAGACTTGTGGCGCTCCGGCGTGAACAGTGACATGAGGTCGGTGGTGTGCGTGGGCAGGGGTTGTGTGGAAAACTCTGCACCTACCATCCATGCTGCTGTCACCTTAAAACTGCTACATAACAAAGTCAACTTTTAAAACAACCGAAAACTTTAAGTTATCAGTTGTGTGTTCATAGTGACCCAAACCCTCTTGTATTAGATAGGGAAAAATGAAAAGTTAATGGAAAGGAAAGAAGCAAGAATATTCCACAAATTCATAGCCAGGGACTGGAGCCCTGCCTGTGAGGGACTAGGACCAGGAGGCTGGACGCTGTTCTGCTGCTCTGGTCCTGATGGAGCTCACCTGGATTAGAGCACTTACTGTATTAAACTCTTCCTCCTCCCTCTGTCTATCTCTCTCTCTCCCTCCCTCTCTCTCTCAATTTTTCTCAGTCCTACTTTTCCATTTGGCCAAAACTGTCCCTCTTTCCCCAACATCAGGTATCTTTACGACTCCTGCTTCTCTGAGTCACATTTGAATTTCAGAAAGAGAGAGAGAGAGAGAAGAAAGAGACAAAACAAAAAGCTGCTTTGCTCTGTCAAAAGCAGGTCAGTGAAGTGTCTCCGCTGTGTGGAGGACAAGATGGGTCCACAGGGAGATTGCAGAAGGGCAGGTGTGTGAGGCGCTGAGCCCCACCCCAAAGGAACCTTCTGCAACTTTTAAAATAATGTGAATAATTCTCGTGGGAACAAATGATGAGGAAGGCCAGGGAAGAGTCATTCCTTTCCCACTGCCCCCAGCATGAGCTCCTCAGCCCTGCCAGGACCGAGGCATGCGGCTCCCCAAGTCATCCTTCACTCCAGTTCTCCCTCTTCAATGGCCCGTGTGCACACAATCCTGTCCTCATGGTAGGGCTGGCGACTGCAAGCCTGGTGTGTGGGGCTTGGCCAGCAGTCAGAGTCAGACAGGGCCAAACGAAGGAGCAAAGACTTTGTTCCTGTATTTCTCTAGCCTTCACAATAACTCACTGTTTTTATGACTCACTGTTTAATAATATAGATGCATTATTTTTACAGTTTTAAATATTTGGTGTTGATTTAGAGAGGAAAAAAAAAAGTACAGTCACATAGCTCCTAGATGGGCAAAGAAGGACAGAACTCAGCTTTCCTGACCCCTGGAGCCACTTTCCGTGCTCCTGCCTTGTCTGACACACGAGTGACATCAGGAAGGGCCAGGAACAAGGGTCAGACATACCACCTGCCCCATGCCCATGGGCTCAGTTCTCCACCTGTAAGCTGGGGGTGATGACCCTAGCCCATGAAGTCCAATTAGCTCGGAATTCGGTGTTTGGCAATGGTGCCTGACACTTTCCAGGGCAGAGACAACAGAAAGACCTCAGGCAGTTAGGAAGGGGCAAGTTTGTAAAGAGTAAAGTTTACAAATATTAGAAATGTGATATATGCTCGAATGAATGTACACAAAATCAACTTTAATCTTTATAAAATAAGTCACAGTTGATCTGTTTTATACGAGCAAAGCCCCCCAACCCCTGAGAAATCACCAAAGGCTGTAACCTGGAAAGTTTGACTCGGGTCATCACAGACTGTACCCCAGAGCAGATCCCCCAGACCCAGGAGTGGCTCACACACACACACACACACACAATTGTTCACACTCACACAGTCACAGACACATATTCACACACATACACTCACACACCCACATTACACACGCACATTCTCACACTCACACATATGTCCACATATACACTCACACATCTTACTCATACGTATGCACACACACTCTCACACGACCTACATATCCACACGCTCACCCTCACGTGTTTGCACTCTTTCACACACTCACACTTTCTCACACACTCACACGAGCACTGGCTGTCCAAGCTCTGTTCTCTTGTCTGGGCACTGGCCCATCCCTGGGGTCCAGGCCTGGCATCCCTCTGTCCTTTTGGGGCCCTGTCCCCCTGGAGGTAGTGGCCCCCTTGTCTGACCCCACCGCAGCTGCCGGCCTCTGCCCTCGGTGTCTCCTCCGTCCATGTGGGTGTGGGGCCTGTGGCAGGACAGGGGCTCACAGCAAGGCACAGGGAGCAGAGCGTCTTCTGGGGGACTGCCCACCCCAGGGTCAGAGCGGGCTGCAGCAGGAAGAACTGTGCAGGTACGACAGACCATGAGTGACCTCCACCCAGCCCGAAGTCAGAACTCCCGGGTCTCCCCAGGAGACAGCGGGATCCCAGAATGAGGACCTGGAAGGCTGACCCACCCCAGGTTCTTCCCCCTCTCCCCACACAGCCATCTGTCAACCCAGGCTGAGCAGTGGCCCACTCCCCATCCATGGGTCCTCTCCTTGCTGGTCCTCCCTAGAGGCTGGGCCCCAGCTGAGGGCCCAGAGGACACGAGGAAGGAGGAAGGGACAAGCTGAGCACAGAGGAGAAGCCTGAGACACCCTCCTGGGCTCCCCACGTCCCCCAGAACCCAGGGTGAGGTGTGCACCCAGGGAGAGCATAGAGGAGCGACACGGCCAGCCCTGACCCCAACGACTGCACACTGTGCCGGCTGGCAGAGGAGGGCCCGGAGCCAGCTGGGAAGGGCACGTAGGCCAAGCCGAGGGACCCTCTGAAAGGGCGTCCAGGCCCATCTCCCTCCCAAGCCGGGAGCCCCTCTGACCTTGGGTAAAGAGGAAGCAGCCACTCCAGTGCCCAAGCCTCTGCCCTGCGAGCTCCACACTGTCATCAGCCCCACGTTTCCCTGAGGATGTCTGTGTTTTGCTTTTCTAATGCTGTGCAAGAAATTACTAGGAATTTAGCAGATAATAAAAGCATTCTTTTTTTTCCTAGTCCTGGGGATCAAACCCATGGTCTTTACGTTGAGCTTCACCCAAGCATTTTTTTTTTTTTTTTGAGACAGTGTCTCCTTATATCACTAAATTACCCAGACTGCACTTGAATTTGTGCTCCTCCTGCCTCAGCCTCCAGAGGGCTGGGATGGTGGTGCGTACCTCCACACCCAGCTCACACATTTGTTACATCATAGTCTCAAAGCTGGAGTCTCAGTACAAAGTAGTCAAGGCCTTGGTCGTGGTGTCAGCCAGATGGGCCGCTCTCACCTGTGGCTGACTGGGCAAGGTCCATGGGAAGCTCCTGCATGGCTGCCTGGACCGTTTCCTGGCAACCACAGGACCCCAGCCCCTGCGATCAACTGGAGCCCCACTCAGTGCCCAGAGATGGTCCCCAAGCCGGCCGGAGCTCAGCTAGGAGGCGTCACAAGAGATGTCTGCCTCGATGTCTTCCCCTCACTGTGCAACTGACCCTGCCCATGGGTCATTTGCTGGTAAGAAAGGAAGAAATGACTTAATGACTTCCTAATCAGATCATTCAGGAGTAAGTAACCTAAGTAACCACCGTGCGGACTCTGACGTGCATCCATCCAGACTGTCACTGTCCACACACAGGAAATACAACATACAGCCATAACACAAAGAGCCGCAATCACATGACCTCATGCTTTCCACAGCTCAGGAGTCTTTCTCCCGCCCAGCAGTTCACAACCATCTTTCCATGTCAGCCCGTGGCGTCCACACTGCTGACCCTACTCCCCAACCCGCCTGCTTCCCAGGGCTCCATCCCCTCTGGCTGGGGATCAGTGCACAAGGAGGGACCCGGTCAGGAGCAGCTCCAGCCACTCACACTGGTGGCCGCGAAAGCCATGAGGAAAGTGAGCCCCACCTGCTGCCATGCCAGGTGCCCTCTGCGATGGTACGCAGGGGACAAGAGTGATTTACAGACACATGGGCCATGTGCAGCAGCCCCAAGCTAGCAGTAGACATAATGGGAAAAATGGCAAAGTCCCAGGATGCCTTCATCCACACCACGCAGATCTCCTCCATCTCCTGTCCACTTTGTAACACCACCTCTTCCTGGGCCAGGGATTTAGCTCAGTGTTGCTGCTGCCTGCTTTACAAGCGCAAGGTCCCGAGTTTGATCTCTGGTACCAAAAAACAAAAAAAACACTATCTCTTCCTTCTAGACACATGCACACATGCACACACGCAATGTGCACACAGGCACATGGTCATGCACACATTAGAAACATGCAGTTTCTCCTGACATCTCCAAGCACCTTGCTCTCCAGACCCTGTAGCTGTTGATGACAGTGCTGGTTGCTGTAAGGAGATACCACCAAACTACTCTCCAGAAAAGCAAGATTTTACAGAAGTTATCAGATAACCTCATTCACACTAAGCACTGACTGAATGGATTCCCTTCTACCAGCAAAACACCACACATGGGGCCGGGGATTTAGCTCAGTGATTCCACTACCTGCTTTGCAACAGTGAGGTCCTGAGTTCAATCCCCTGTACAAAAAAAAAAAAAAAAAAAAAAAAAAAAAAAAACATGGCCAGGCATGACAGCCCACACCTATAATCCCAGCACTCTGGGACCCTGGAGGAGGCATGAGGATTGAAAGTTCAAGCCCAGTCTGGGCAACTTAGTGTCTTAGCAATTTAGGGACACCCCGGCTCACAAGAAAATATATTAAAAGGCTGGGGATGTAGCTCAGTGCAAAGGCCCTGGGCTCAATCCCCAGTACTGAACACACACACACACACACACACACACACACACACAATATTGCCAAACATGCAATATCACATACA